TATTTTTTGCAAGGGATTCTTGAAGTTTGGTTATGTTAGAACAAGAAATGTCCACTTTAGCTTATTTTTTGCAAGGGAAAACCGATCGTAACAACACAACCGGATCCGGACTCCCCCGTTTTGCCTGAGACTTCCTCACGAAAATGATGAAAATGAGGCTGCGGCCTAGGCGCGGCGGGGGGGTCGTGCACCAGGGGTCCCAACAATAATTATTCTTTAGAAGTAATAATGTTCAACAACAACAACAACAACAACAATCATTTTACCCGAACGCTCAGTGTTCTCCCCAGTGCCAGGGTTTTCTTGCGACACCAGCCAATACCCCCACTTCGTGGGGGGGCCGTTCAAGCTCTACCAAATATCCAAACGACTCTTCGAGACCACCCACACCCAGCTTCCCGCCCTATGACGTTGGGACACTTCACTTCGTGGCGTGCGGACGACCCTGGCTACTACACTGGCGTGGGGTACACACCCACAGAGGTTGATCACATCTGTTACATATGATGTGGTACACGGTACACGTGAGATGGTACGCAGTGCCAAGATAGTTGGTCACATTTTTGGGGCAAATTCGTGGGGATGCGATTACAGAAGTACATGTGTTACACTGATGTTATACAGTCCCAAGGATGACGCATGCATTGCTCATAGACTCATGGCGCTATGATCCTAACTCTCAGTGCCCAACGCGCGCGTGCACAGCCAGACGGAGGGAGAGAAACACATGTATACAAGGTTCGTGACATACGCACGGTCCACCATGTTGTAAACGATCGCATGCACGGTAAGTTCTGAAATTATACGTATGTACAAGCAGACATGCGAGGGAGAAAGGGAGATGGCCATCGACAGTTCCAATACGGCTCCAAGGCGGAAGAGGGGGAGGAGGAGCAGGACAAGGAGGAAAGGGAATGGAATTATCAAGAGACCGCGAATGGATTTCGAGATTTTTCGGATGAGAAAGTAGTGCGTTTTCATATGTTTTCTGAACATCGCATCTTGAAATTATTGAAAACCCATTGTGTTTGGCAGGATTTCGACATGCGCGCGCGGCGGCCGCGCGCATGTGCACTTCGTCTCATTTTTTGCAAGGGATGGTGGCCCTCGCAGGCGCGCAACCGTTGTTGGAGAAGTTCAAAGCACCTGAAGAAGTAGCACGCAAAGACCCTTTTGACAGAAATGTTTAAAAAGTGGTGTGTTTCCTATGAATCCGCAAGAGCGCGCGGAAGGACATTTTGACAATTTTTTCTTAAAAAACCATTGGGTTTTTGATGTTTTTATGTTAAAATCGTTACGAAACCTAAGGTTTTGGAAGGATTTCGTCTTGCGCGCACGAATGTCCACTTTACCTTATTTTTTGCAAGGGATTCTTGCAATTTGATCAAGTAAGAACAAGAATTTTCATTTTCTATTGTTTTTTGCAAGGGAAAACGAGCGTCAACAAAAAACCGGATCCGGAGCTCATCCACTTTTCTGAAGCTTTCGCGAAAAAATGATGAAAATGTAGCTGCGGCCTAGGCGCGGCGCAGAGGTCGCGCACCAGGGGTCCCAACAATAATAATTCTTTAGAAGGAATAATGTTCAACAACAACAACAACAACAACAACAACAACAACAACAACAACAACAACAACAACAACAACAACAACAACAACAACAAAATAGTCCTCAGACTATTTCTAGACTATTGTTTTAGCAGTCTGGGGGTACTTTTTAATTTTCGTCGAAAATCCCCCTGTAGGGGCACAGGCCCGACTTAAGACTTGGCGACGGAGCGCATCGAACCCGCAGGGAAGCGAGGCCCGCCGCTGGCCCGCGCGCCCCGAGCCACGGCTGCGCCTCCTCGAAGCCGACGCAGGGAGCTCAGGATCGCCCACGGACGGTTCGGTGCCTCGCCCCGCGAGCGCGCGCGGCTCTCGGGTCGGGCGAACGGGGGGTCTTTGAGAATCGCCTCGCGCAGCCGCTCTTCCCGGGCGCCGGCGGCGGCCACGTGCCGAGGCAGGGGCCCCTCCGGTGGGGCCGAGACCGGCTGCAGGCAGCCAATTTCGTACCCCCCCCCCTCTCCCAATTCCGTTTTTGTTTTGATACATATATATATATATATAAAGAGAGAGAGAGAGAGAGAGAGAGAGAGATGAAGAACAAAAAGAAGAAGAAAAAGGAAAAAGCAAAGAATAATAATAATAATCATAAGAATAATATTTATAGATTATTGTTTAACAAAAAACAAACAAACAAACAAAAAAAAAAAAAAAAAAAAAAAAAAACGAGCCCCCCCTTTCGTCCGGCCCGAGGCTCCCCGAGCCCGCGCCCGGAGCGAGGGCGCGGGGCCGCCGGCCACGCGCAGAGCAGCAGCAGCGGCGGCCCGAGCGCCCTCCGCCCGGGGGCCGGCGCCATCGCCGGCCAGCGCCCGGCGCGGGTCCCGAGGGCCCCGGCCGAGGCGGGCCTCGGCCACGGCGGCCCGAGCCGGACGGCTACAGTCCCAGACCCCCTCGAG